AGTTTTGGGGGAGAACTCCCATTATTTATACTTTAAACATGAACTTCAGGGCTAGGGACCCGTATGTAATTATGAAAAGTTATGGGTTGAAAGTTGGAATTTAATCCTTAAGAGAAGTTCGATTAAAAAAAAAGACCTATGCGGCTGTGGTGAATTCGCCTGATCCGGGGTGCCTATCGACGGGGCGGCGGAACCAAAATAAGGTGAACGAAACAACGGCAAGGGACGGTCAAAAAAGGAGAAAGTGAAAGACTAAGTCACACTACGAAAGAGGTAGAATCGGAAGCAGGTGTTCTGATTTATGGTATTGGCATATTAACTCTAATTCTTCTGCCTCTCTGTTCGCTTCACTATTCACTTACTGCCGGCGCATTACCTTCATTTGGGTATCCCTTGATTGAAGCTGTGGGTGGAATCGGCTGTTTAAATTGGAATGTTTTTGTCGAAAATGTGAAATTTGGAATTCCAAATAGGATTTGGAATCTGAAGTTTGTATTTGGGTTCATTTTGTCCTAGAAAAAATAGTCATTTTTCTGTGTGGAAGAAAAGGCTTGCTTTTTTACCACTACAACCAGATTAGTTTGTTATTATAGTAGATGGTGTTACAAAAAAACTTACGCTTTGGTAACATATTTATTTTTTGAGATTATGATTTTTTAGTCTCTCTTGATGACTCAGGTCCAAATGATCATCAAGGGGTTGTTCAGGAGATATCGAAGGTGGAATCCTGTGCATCCAACATATGGAGCCTTTTGGGGCATGGGAATAGGCGTTGGTTGCGGTGTTGGATGGGGTCCTGGTTTTGGCCCTGAGGTGATTGGTTATGTTGGGGCTGGCTGTGGAGTTGGATTTAGTGTGGGCATAACCCTTGTTGGCTTTGGCATTGGTCTTCCTGTAAATTGCCTGTTTGAAGTTCCTTATAATGGTATTCTCACTCGTAATTGAAAGTTTTTAAACAGTTTACTCATCCCTCTTGCTTAATATGCTGATATATTGAAGATTGCTTCCCAGCTATCATGGCAACAAGAACTGGTGCATCAGATCTTTTGAGGCTTAGTTCAAAAAATGAAGTGGGGGGTGGCTGGAACGGCATTGCACCTTACATCTCTGGAATGCGAAGAGAAGCCAGCAGAAGATTACCAGGATTTAACCCAAGAAAATTGTTGGACAAACGGGTTGATTTATTTGATTTGAAAACCACACTATCTGTCCGTACTAAAGCCGTACAGGAAGGCTTTGGAAGATTCAATGGTCGCTTTTTTGGCCGTAACAAAGGTGTGCTTCAGAATGCAACATTCTTTATAATTCTAAAAGGTTTCTGCTTTTAGTATTTTAAACTTGGGGTTGTTGCACCAAATAACACGACTGCATTAGGAGATAGGTGGTAGGTATCTAACTTCCACGTGGTGACTTTGACAATGCAGATGTGTGGATTATAATTTGAGTAGAATTAGGTTATTTAAACCTTTGCTTTGATTAGTTTATATATCTATGTTGTTATGCTTTGTTGGCTAAAGTTTCTGAATATTCTGACCTTTTTAAGTAGTAGTCCAAATCCTTTTATATACATACACATAACAGGACAACCGACACAAATTTCCATCTGTTGTTATGCTGTGGCCGTCTCCCTTCCTAAATAGCTTGATAAGGAATGTTGACGTGTAACTGCCTGCCTCCTTTTTCAATTTTTTTTTGCTCATATCTGGATAGTTTCTTTTTCTGAAACTAGATTGTTGCCAGCAAATTAACCCTCTGAGTTCCAAAAAAATATGTAAAATTTTCCCAAAGTCAAAGCTTTTGTAGTTTTTAACCCCCAAATTCTAAACCCCAACCATGCTCTTCTTAGTGCTGGACCAAAGATCCTGAGAGTGCTAGTTAAGTTGCAACTTGCAAGAATATGTAATGTAAGTTGTAACGACATTTGTCTAATATTGTTCTAACCTTCTAAGCAATTGCATGTGGCAAGATAAAACAGTTAAGTTATTTGTCCTAGCATTATCAATTTGATGCAATGGATGGAGTTGGTAATTTTTCCCTTATGGAAGCTTATTCTTGAATTGCTGTTGGAGTTTTTGAAGGTGGATTATATTATTACCAACTGTTGCAAGATTTCAAATTTCTAAGTAAATTCACAACAGAAAAATTAAACTAAAACCTAGTCAAGAAACTTGGCCTTCTTATGTTAGGTTGGGAGACACATGGTAATGTGGTGACTCATACATCGTCATGGTTTTATGCACTTACTTTTTACTAGTTTCAGTTGTATTTCCCTAATTTTTTATGCACCTATGATCAATAAAGGAGACAGAACAAACTGTTTATGTTCTTAAAATTTATTGCAGGTTTGAAAGATTAATTCTAGCATACTCTGGATTTTCGACTTCCTCACGATCAAAGCCACTATATACCAAGGCTTATCTACGTGCATTCTGGAACTGTGTTCAATTTGATTAGTATGTTGGAGACATCTAAGCAGCAAGGAATGCAGCATAGCCAAGATATTGTAAGTGATTGTGACAATTTCTGCATTTCTCTTGGTTAACACACACCAGAATTTGGAATAGTTTTGAAAAGGTGAAGAGTTTTTAATTTTTTTTTCTGTGATAAATATGGATATAAATATGGTACAGATTCGATTTGAGACAAAACTACAGGAAGAATGAAGAATTTCTATTGTCTGATTTTTTTGTTGGGTATCTATCTTGCTACAGGAATATATTTGGATCTAAAAGTGGTAAAACTACTTAAAGTAATGCACATTCACTAGTAGCACTCAACATTTATTAATAACTATTCTGTTTCTGGTTTTGATTTTGAACCCTCGCTTTTACTGGCAATTATCCAACAACTCCTACAAAGTTCCTAATATGGTAATACCTTATATTTGAAACAAGATTTTGGTATATGCAGTCAATTGTAATAAAAGAAGAAAGCAAATGTGATCCAATCTAAATCTAGAAAAGTTAACATTGTCTTTCCGACATTACTTATTACTAATAAAACACAAACGAAATTATTCGTTCTATTCCCCTACATACCTATAAAAATTGTCATACACGCCAATGAGCAGCCTTTGATTGGCTTCGGACATTTGGATGCGGCCATGCACGTGTGGTTGGGTTCATTTCTAAGGCACAATCCAGATCACATTACAATTATTAAAAGAATAATGATGAGAAAGACGAAAACAAGGGATGATTTCGGGGAACGAAAATGAGGTGGCATGTCACCTCAGCATATATTTTAATAGATATTAAAAAGGGTCTACCGTTCATTTCCTTCACACATTCTCTTTATTTTCTCTGCAATTTTTTCTTTGTTACAGCTTCATCCAAATCCAAGCTCTCTCTTCCAAATCTTCATCATTTGTCTCTATTTTTCTCATCCCCTTGCAAAGACTAAGTATAGATTTAAGGTTTCTCCTAAATAGGGTTCAATTTTACCAAATGGTTAGGGTTTAGTTTTTAAGTTTCAGGTTGTGGGATGCGACGGGGCAGCGGAATAAGATCATAAATTTCTCAATTAGAGTAAAGGAGTCGGAAAGGAAGTATTTGCCAGCGGCGCCGCAAGCTGCGGCGGCGAGGATGAGAAAATTTCAAATTGCTAGGATGAAGGATTTCGATGGGGTTGTTATAGGGATTCCACACAATGGAGGAGCTTGGCAAAAAATGGGGAGATGAGAGAGAAAGATAGGAGATTTGGAAAGAGAAAAATAAATTAGAAAAGAGGTAGAAGATAAACATGAAAACATAACTTAATTTAAATTTTTTAAAATTAATATATTAACAATGTGGCTTGCCACATTATTGGTTCTAGAAATTCATCCCTTTTATTCGTCCTGTTGGTTCTAGAAATTCATCTCTTTTATTCGTCCTGTGTATCATTGTCCTTATTAAAACCCCTTTATTCCTTCATGAGTGTCTATTTACTTTATTGGCAAAGCCCTATGTTACAAAAGAAAGACGAGAACATGTATGCAGAGGAACGGTCATTGTTAGAGGGAAAAAAAGAGGAAATTTTGTAGGTGATGTTACAGTGTTACGACTCCCACGATAAGAAGTTAGTAAGTTAATGAATGATAACTAATGAAATGATTGAATCTTGTAAAGTTGATCAAATGAACATGTTGTCACACAAGATTGTAAGAATTTATTGTAAGAAGAGCATTATTTAAGATATAGAGTATTATATGTTATGTTTTCTTTATCTCTTGAAATCCGGCTTAGATTAAATTATACCATTAGTTACTACAAGATAGAGCGTGTTAGTTGAGCATGGGATGTCCTGCTCCAGTGTCTATTGCACAAGTGTCCTCCTCCAGTGTCTCCTAATTCTTATCTTTTATCTCAACTCAACACATATAAATCACTCCTTACTTTTTAGAACTTCCATGAGCATTTCCTTTCCAAAATGGTAAAAATGATAGGGTTCATGATCTGGAGTCTTTTAGCCTCCTCAATGCCCAAACAGGGTCAACTTCAACTGGGATTTTACTCCGATAGCTGCCCCAACGCTGAGAAGATTGTGCAGGATTTTGTCAACGAAGAAATCCACAATGCCACATCCCTAGCAGCAGCGCTCTTAAGAATGCACTTCCATGACTGCTTCGTTCGGGTTTGTGCTCCTACCTTTACAACTTTTCCCCACCTTCTTCTACCCAGCTTTTAACATGTTAATTAGTAACCCTCTTTTGGCTACAATTCAGGGTTGTGATGCATCCATACTCCTGAACTCAACTTCGGCTGGGCAAGCAGTAGAAAGGGAGGCCTTTCCAAATTTATCTGTTAGAGGGTATGACTTCATTGACAGAGTAAAGAGTTTATTGGAAGCAGAATGCCCTGGTATTGTCTCCTGCGCAGATACCATTGCTTTGGTTGCGAGAGATGCCATTGTTGCCATAGTAAGCTCTCAAATTAGTTCATTTACTGCAATTTAATTTCGTCACAAAGGAAAGTCTGTTCTGTGGTCACATTATTTCCGTGTACACCAGGGAGGTCCATTCTGGAGAGTTCCAACCGGACGCAGAGATGGCTTGATCTCCGTACAGTCAGATGCTATTACCGAGCTCCCATCTCCATTCGACAATTTCACCGCTCTTGAAACTCGATTTGCTCGCAAAGGACTAGATATAAAAGACTTGGTCTTATTATCGGGTACATTACTGTTTTCATAAATTTACCCGAATTTATTGAGACAACCAAATGATTTTTTTTTTTTTTTTTTTTTTGTTGTGATATGATGGTTCAGGTGCTCATACCATCGGCATAGCCCATTGCTCAGCATTTGCGGACCGCAGACTGCTCAATTTTAGTGGTGTGCTGGGCGCGGTGGATCCAAGCATGGATAGTGAATATGCGGCAAATCTGAAGGCAAACAAGTGCAAAACTTTCAATGATACTACCATTGTTGAGATGAACCCTGGAAGTCGAAAGACGTTTGATCTAAACTACTATTCTCTTTTACTCAAGAGGCAAGGCCTTTTTGGTTCCGACCAAGCTCTAACTACTAATGCTACTTCGTTGGCTATTATCAACCAACTGCTTCAGGGATCACTTGAAAATTTCTTCAGGGAATTTGGGTTGTCCATGGAGAAAATGGGGCAGATCGAGGTTATGACAGGAACCCAAGGGGAGGTTAGGAAGCATTGTGCCCGAGTGAATAGTTAAGACTAAACACAGAACTTACTCTTCACCTTGTTGTCTTGTAAGTTTTACAATGTTCTTGTACTTTTTATGGCATTTGTGGTGTGTTCTTCTTTTTCAGTTCAATTCAAGTTGATGTAGGCGTTCTCCATTGTGCCTTGGTTAAAGGCTCCCCAAATAAGACAGAGCCTACCTAATGTTGAGGATAATGATGTGATGAAGTTGAGTTTTTTCATTCACAAATATCAATTCATACTACTTTATTTTTTGAACTTCTAATTTTTCAAAAAGTAGGATTTACAGTCACTATCCTCAAAATAAATAATTTATTTGAATTAGTATCTTTATGCATAATAAATTTTTGGATGCAAATGGACATAGAAATAAAATAAACTACAACTAGTTGTAAGACTCGAATTATATAACCTTCTTTAATTGTACCTTTGGGTTAAGGAGAGAGAATAAAAGAAAATTAATATTTTAATTAAATAAATTATAATATTTTTGATATATTAAAAAATTCATCTATTTTTTTTAATTTCTCTCAAACTAGTGAGGCGTTGCTAATTAACCGAGCCTGAGGCTTGACCACCGTGGTCCTCAAACGAAAACATTTTTGAGCAAGCCCATATAAGGAATGGGCCAACAATGTACGTTTGCAGTTTGCATAATGGGGATATGTGAAGAGGCAATGGGACCCCCGTGTCTTTTCTGTGCAATAAAGTCTGTCCGCTACCAAAAGAAAAAACAAATGTCTAGTAGGCTGTTTATATCCAATCAAATGTTACTGATTTGGCTCAAACTGACTTCATTTAATTAAAAATAAAATAAAATTGATAGAAAATTAGGTTCGTTTTTATTATAAAAATTTAAAATAGATATAATTAATTTAATTTGTGATTTTATTTTTAAACTATCTAAAGTATTTGATTACAAGATAATTTAATTAAATGATATAATATATTTTTTATAATATTTTAAAATTTCTTTTTCCTTGTTTCATAAAGTAATAACTTTATTAATTTAATTAAGAAAAAATAAAAATAGAGTATCTCCATAGTCCCTAATTTATTTTTTCTTTTTAATTATACACTTTAACCCTAATTCTAAATTTTTAATTTACTAATAGTTCTATCCATCAAAACCGGTCTATGATTATATTCTTAGAACTCTAAATTTCTAATTTGTTTATAAAATAATATTTTTATTCTCCTAACCAAGCCTTAGAGAAGCATCATTTAAGTCTTAAAACTTCATAATAGAATCAATGTTGATATTTTGCTATTCTTAATGTTTGGTCGATGAGTTTTAAATCTAAAGTATGAATGTTTTTAATCAATTTTAGTGATATTCATTTTAAATTTGATTTGCTTTTAACAACATTTAAAAAATGAGATCTAGTTATTAGTTTATTAAAAAAATAATTTTAAATTTTAAGAATTACTTATACCATACTCAAAAGTTAGAGTCATCTTTTGATTAATACCTTTGGTAATGTAGCTAAAAAAAATTTCAAATCTTTTCAATATTTACAATTGTAAAGGAATATAAGAATTTGTTTATAATTTGTTCCTTTTTTAATTATGTTTTTATTGATTTAAATGTAAATGTGTTTTACCATTAAGTTTTCTACTTGAAGTTAAGATTTTTTACATTATCTCATATATTTACTAGTGTTAAAAACCAATTAATCCAATCGAACCACACTGATTTGATTTAAGTTAGATTAATTTAATTATAATATAATAATGAATTAGATTAATTTAAAATTTTTATTAACTAACTAAATTAATTTAATTTAAAATATATTAAAATCCAAACCAAAATGCACCACAAACACCCCTATCTAAGACGTAATAATTAAGAAAGCAGGTCAAGTGGGAGCAAGGTTATTCCCATCAACAAGGATGTTAAGGTATTAAAATTATAAGAAGAATATATTTAAAAATATTAATTTTATTTAATTTAATTAATAAAAATAAAGAGAGATTTATTTATACACAAATCTTATACATTACATTTATATAAAATCTCAATAATTTATTATTTCATTTTCAATTGTTGAAATTTATCACAACTTTTTAGGTGAAAAAGATAATTATTTTTAATAAATATGAATAAATCACAACTATTAAAAGTGAAAAGATGAATGATTGAGGTTTTATATAAGTATAGTTGTTTACATCATAAATTAAAAAAATTTAAGATCATGCCACGTGTCAAAGATTTTTATATGGATGGAGGAGATTTTGCCACGTTAAATGAAAATTCTGGGCTCATGATAGTTTAGCTACCACTTTGGAAGGAAGGAGGTAAAAATATAAGATTTTATCTTTTAATTACTTTTTAAAGTTAAAATTAGAACAATTTTGATTGAAATTTAGGAGGAGGTGTCAGTTGTGGGTATCGGTTATTAAATAAAGAGAACAGGTGGTGAAATCTAGAAAGCAATCTAATCTTGTTAACTGCTAAGGTGTCCCACTACATCAAGAAACTGTTCATGATTTTTGAAACTGTAGAAAATGGGGAGTTACAGTCGAAAAAAGGAGAACAAAAGGGAAATTTTGGAAGGGAGAACACACAGCTAACTCTACTCAAAACTTGCAAATTTTCAAACTTTCATTTTCTTTGCAATTGCTTACAGAGTTTGGATTTTAGCACAGTTTTTAGTAGATTTAGGTTGTTTTTCATCATTCCAGTTATCGAACTAGTTCTCGTATTCGCTTTAGCAATTTTGTTTCATGTAATGAACTTCAAGTTGTTGAATTTCTTCAAGGTATCATTCCTTTTCTGCTTGTAATTAGTTTAATATTTATGATAAGTAGCTTTTCATCAAATGATTACTTATATGATGTTCACACTTCTTCTCAAATCAAGCATGTTAGTTTAATCACTGTTCACGTTTGTTATAGGGTTAATTAGGGTTAAATTTCTAATTCTGCAGCAATTTAATTTCTAAATTTGTTAGTAGAAAGCATTTTAATTTAACAATGAATATATTTAATTTAATTTACATACATCTTTTTTCTCACAAATGTACTTTAGATTGCATGCTATTTAATTTAATTAGGATTTGTTAACTTTGTTTCACGGTAATG